CCCCCCCCCCCACACAAGGAGCAGCAGCTCCCTGAAGATTTCACAGAATATTTTTAAATACAGTCGACTCCGGTTATAGCGAACAAAAGTAACTGGTACCGTTTCACTTACATAGCAAATAATCATAAGATTCGGTTACAGTGAACCTCTTATTTAGTGAACCAGACATGTTGGTCCCCAGAAGTTTACTATAACCAGAGTCAACTGTAAGTTTGTTATTTATTTAAATATTTTGTCTTTTGTTTTTCGGTTCCTTCTTTTATTTACACAAGCGCCTGCAGTCTGGAGCACACTTCCATGTATACGTGATTAACACTCGCAAAATTATTTTCAAGGAATATGACGAAGGCTCTTCCACTCAAAAAGAGATAGCAAAAGCAAATTTAGAATTATGTATTTATATTAGTAACATGAACAGAAAAGCAACGGCCTCCCCATCTTTTGCCGTCTGTAATTAACATTTGGGCTAATTTAATTTAAAGGTGATCGAACCAATTGATGTTACTGAAAAAATCTAAGATCTCCACTGTGGGAAAATGGTCGTTAACTGTCAGGATTTCGTGAAATGCTCAGTTTTCGTAATGTCCACCGAACGTTCTGCGGACTTTTGGGGACGTCTAAATGTGTCCCACGTGCACCGAATCTCAACTTTCGGGCGTTTATTGTAGTCGCTCCTCGACACGTGTGTTAAAAGGTAAATTTCACGCGTGTTGGTGGACTTTAAACCATTTCAAAAACAAGCGTCTTTTCGCCTTCCACATCGCTGTCTTCCTCGCGTGCGTGCCACTTCAGTGCGTTGGCCGTTTCCTCAATAAACGACGTGTTCGAAGCGGTCGAGCGTATTGCACACAGGAAGAATGCAACCAGAATCTGCGCCACGAAAGAAATTAGTACGAGGAATTTTGTTGAAGTTTCATGTACGTAGGTTAGGATAGAAATGTATTAGACGCTTAATTTTTTTTCCTCTTTCAATGAACAAACTCTTCATAAAAATTTATTCAATGGAATGCACTCAAGTAATATCTAAATACATTAGTTCGTGAGAAAGGGAAAAAGAGTGGAATAGAAATGAAAAGGAAGTATTATATTTTGTGCAACGGCGTAAATGAGTACGTATATGCCAGACATTTGAATACAAGAACTTCTCCCACCGATTTTTTTTAACAAGCAAGTTTTTAGCATTTCATGTAACATTTTATACTCCGTGAAGTTGCCGCAGCAGGTATTATTGTTTATACGCGGTACAGAATGTAGTGTTTACAGGCCGCGTCTTATGCAGTCGCTTGCCTTCATAATTTTCGGCCGCTACAAGCGTGGCCTCGGCGGAGAAAAATCGTCTTTCCCAGGGCCAAAAGGCGGACGGTATGTCGGTCGTAAACAACCCGGATTCATGCATTCGCTTACGTTCCACGCTCAGGACCCCAACCATATCTCGAAGGCCTCGGTGGGTCATGTGAGGAAATAATGAAATTACGATGGGATATTTTTCACGAGGCTGAAATCCTGAGAGAAATGAGCGCAGTGATAAACCTATTTTACTAAATGTGGAACTAAGCCGATCTGACCTGATCGCATTTGTTCCAGAAATGTGGTGTTACATCTCTGAAAAAGAAAGTATCCTCAGAAACGTCTACGTGTTGTGCGTTTCAAACAGTCTTGTTTTGTAACGTATTATTTAAGTATTTACAACTGGCAAAAAAGAAAAACTAAAGGTTGTATGTACTACAAGAGGGTGAATTAGGAAATCCACTGGGTGGGAAAATTAGTTACTAATGTTCTCTGTGGTGTTTTTAAAGTTTAAGCTATCTCGTTTTCAACTACGCATTTGAGTTCTTTTCACAGTACTTCTGACCGTGGGATTAGGGGACAGGCCTATCGTCGTATCACGTAAAAGAACCGCGAAACGAAAGGACAGGACACAACAGTTATTCTAAAATCTCACGGTATAAGTTATTTTCGTATAGTCGTGATGGTAGGTGAGAAAATTAGTTTCTTAAACACGGAATAAAAATCAACGCAAAATTAGGGATGGCGACAAGAAAAATAAAGTTGAAAGGCGTGCGTTTTGTAGGATGTCCTGGCAGGCCGTCTGCCTTGCCGCTGCACCCGTCTGGGTTGTGGGTCGCGGAGTCAATAAAGTTGCAGTTTGTTTTTCTGCTGGGACAGGCGTGGTCATGAACCATCGCTACAGTCGTCGTTTTCTCTGGCCGAGATAGCATCTGGTAGAAAGTTCAAGATCAGAAGGAAGGAAACATCGGGGACGCTACAGGACTCTGAATCTAAACATGCGACGATGGAGAAACACGTAAAAAGCATTCATAGATGTCATTTGGACGCCCTTGGATGTTTATTAAAAGTTGAAAGATGAAGGTTTTAGTATTTCTGCATTGACACATAGCGAAATTTTCTTTAATATTCTTGTGGGATATTCTAGTAAATTCGAGACTTTTAAATAAATACTTATTGGATTTCTTTGGTTTATGGTGTTTGATACCAAAGTCCAGATTTTGCTTTTAACGGTTTTGTTGATGTAAAGTAGAACATTTAAAAACCTTAAATGTGGTTTTCTTTTATGTTAATATTTCATTGCGTTCGTAAGAGAGGAAATGTGGGAAGGCTTGAAATACAAAAAAAAATCTTATGGGCACGCAAAATCACACGCTAAGGCATGTTCACTTACTCGGTTCAGTGTCAATCAAGTAGTGGTATTCCTAGCGAAGGAAAGTCATGTATTAAAGTATGGCCGTTGTGCTGTGCTCGTGACCATGAAATATGGGAGGGGCACTAGCATTTTTATAGCATTCCAGCAGGCCTGCTGTGTAGCATTAAAGAAACGAAATAACTTCCCTAAGCTTTATTCTAAAATCGTGCATACCACTAGTAATGCAGCTGTCCGGGGAGGAAACGTCGAAACTTCGAGAATAAGCTCTTAAGACTTTTTTAAGAATATTTTGTCCAATAAACTACGTGGATATTCTGAATGACTGAGCAGCAATAAGCACTCAGTAGCTGGCTTGAAGAGGTTGCTTTGGAAAATGGGCAAAAATTTGCAATGCAGAAGTACAGAAACATGTAAATTGTTAATTTTTTACAAAAGAAATGAATATATTCTAGAAAGGAAAAATATGACAGAGAAAAAGGCGTCGAATTGTGTAAATTGGTTGCTTTTTTACTTGTGAGTTAATTTTTCTTTCTGAACAATTATATTCATTTCTTGTGTAAATAATAAAATATATATATTTCTGGAATGTTTCTGTACTTAAATATACATTTTTTGCCTAGAAAGCATTTTTTGAACTTTTGAGTGCTAATTTCGGTTCGACCATTCAGAACAGCCCGGTAGTTTATTAGACAAAATATGCTTCAAATGAGAGCTTATTTTCGAACTTTCCTCCCGTGACACCTGTATATTCCGACAAGTTATTTCAGCAGGACGAAGAGACTACTTAAACACGCACTTGTCCAAAATCCCCGTGTTGATCATAAAGCGCAGACGCCTCCCGTGTGTAGTCTTTAGTCCCTTAAGGACAACGCATTAGCCCGGCAGACGCCGCTTCCTCAACGCGCCCCAGTGGAGGCTGCGTGAACCCCGCTCTTACGCGCCCATTAGCGCAAGTGGTCCTCCCCTCGTCTTGAGGCGACGCGTGACGCTTCGCTCCGCCCGATGACGTCCGTCGCCCGGTCTCCCTCCTTGCGGCCGCTCGCCCCTGGTGGAAGCGCTCGCGCTCGCTAGATTAGTCCGCTGGCGGGGGGAGGGGAATGAGATGATGTCTCCTGAACGCAAATGGATCATTGGATGTGGCGCGCTTGTACGCCTGGTGATTGTGACCAGGGGAATAAGGGCTTGGGAAGGTAGCTGCATTCTTGTGTACTATTTAGTTATTGCTTTATGTTTTTCGAAGATTAAATGAAATGTAAAGAATGAGAACATTTTCTTTATTGTCATTTTTTGATAGCTTCAGGCAAAGTCGTTTCCTGACTGCCATACTATTTCATTGTGAATTACCGCTAATGAACCTCAGCTACGCCCGCAGCCCAGCTCCCCGCTCCGGGCGTAAACCAGTTTTTGTTCTTCATGCACTTGCATCGTTCAACGTAGATTTCCAGTTAAATTGGCTGTTTCGTTTACACCGTTATTTAGCTCATAATGTTAAAGTTCAGTAAGATTTTTTCACAAGTTAAAATTTCATTTCTCATTCCGAAACATATTCCATTATTTTTTGTCGATATTCAATCCTACCTGCTGCAAATCAAAAAGAAAATTGACGATTTATCCTGGCTGGATCGTGCCAGTGGTGAGACGTGAGCTAGTGCAGTTGTTTGGAAGCGACCTGCGTCTCGTGGGTGCGTGGATTGACGAATCTCATCTGCTGCTGCTGGACCGCGTGTCCCTCGGCGGGCAGTGGCGGCCCTCGGCTGCCCTCGTGACCCTTCGAGTCGACTCGACTCGCGTCGGGTCGTTATCGCGCGGCGAGTGATGAGCGTGACAGCTACTGAGATGCCCGGCCGCAGGGGGCTGCAAAGTGGTTGCGAGACGCTCTGTAGTGTAACATTTTATTTTGGATCCAACTTTGTCATGGTGTTTGCAGGTTTATTTGGAATGAATGTCGTGTTTTGAAAGCTTGGATCCATTTGCCAAGGCCCGAGAGAAAAGTCGGACGTGTGAAATATTGTAATAAACGTACTGCAACTGAAACAATCAGTAAATTGAGGGGAATTATTGTTGTGGTATGTAGTACTTCATTGTAATTTTTGATATTGTAACGAATAATGCATCTAAAACATTTCTTAATTAAAATTTTTAAATCAAAAATTTGAACAAATAAAAGTACTTTGTTACCCGTTAAGCGGAGTTAAAACTACAACCTTAATTTAGTTGTATTGAGAGCAAAGGTGCCCTCGGAATTTAGATAGTACACGACATGTCCCTTTTCGTATGCATGTATTTGTTGTCTCAGTCCTGCAAATTATCG